CCCAACGCTCGGGGACGCCCGCTCGTCCAACCCGTCCGCCCAGTTGGATTGCTGCGACCGCCTGCGCCACAGCACTCCTGGGAGCCCCGCTGACACCTGTGGGAGTCTCATGGCACCCACGGGTGCCTCTCCAGCACCCGTGGGAGCCCTATAGCACCTGGGGAAACTGATGGGTCCAGTGTGTCCATTCAGGTCGCCACCATGATCACCTGGGGCATGGCACCCATGGGACCTCCACAGCACCCATGGGACCTCTTAGCGTTTGGGGACACTCGCGGGTCCGGTATGTCCACCTGCTTTGTCACCACGACCACCTGGGCCACAGCACCCATGAGATCTTCCCCCCAGCACCCATGGGCCTCTCCTAGCACCCACAGGACACCCATGAGTCCATCGTGCCTGCTTCACGCATCGCTGTGATGGGTTGGGGAGATGGGGACACTGTGCTTCCTCAGCACCCCATAGCTGAGGAACATAGCTGAGGTTCCCCATGGGAACCCCCCAGCACCCATGGGAACTCCCCAGCACCCATGGGTGCCCCCCAAGCACCCACCTTGACGTTGACGTTCTGGTCAAAGCCGTCCATCTGGTTGAGGAGCTCCAGGAGGATGCGCTGAACCTCCCGGTCGGCTGTGGGGGGATGGTGGGTGCTGACACCCGAGGATCCTGGGACCCCCCCCGGACACCAGGGACCCCCCTGGGATATCCAGGACCCCCACCCCAGGGTCCCCCAAACCCCAAGGTAACCAAGGGGGTCCCTGTCACCCACCCTGGGGTCTCCAAGATGGTCCCGTTCCCACCCTGGAGTCCCCCGAAGCCCAATGACCAGGGTCCCCAAGGGGGTCCTGGCCTCCCCACCCCAGGGTGCTGCCCCCCACTCCAGGGTCCCCAAGGGATCTTCATCCTTCTACCCCCACCCTGGGGTTCCCAAAGTGGTTCTGTCCTGTTCCCTCAACCCTGGGGTGTCACCTCCCTGTTTCCCATGCTGCTCCCCTACCACCCCAAGATCCCTGAGGTGACCCCATCCCGCGCCCCCCCACCCCAGGGTGCCACCCCCCACCCTAGGGTCCCCATCCCC